TCTATCTCTGTCAAATAAATAAATAAAATCTTTAAAAATAAATAAATAAAATCCACCATTTATTAGTTGTGCAATTACAAATTACTTAACATCTCTCAGCCGGTTTTCTCCTCTGAAAAATGGAACAGTGCTATGAAAATCCACCATGCTTATGATTGTGAAGTATGACAGATAATACAATGTTCAACACCTTGTCCATTCCCTCAGAACTGTTTTTATATTATTCCAAAAGCTACCTGGAGGACATAAGTATTTCCCAATGCCTGCAGTGGAAAAAATACTAATCACATGCCTTGCCTATTGCTTTATTTCCTTCCTTCCTTCATTAAATAACTACTAGCTTACTTTGTGGCCAGGAATTACGAGACTACAGGTGCTAAGAGAGTATAATACTAAGCAAAGTAAGTCAGAGAAAGACAAATACCATATGATTTCACTCATATGTGGAATTTAAGAAACGAAACAAAAGGGAAAAAAGAGACAAACCAAAAAGCAGACTCTAACTACAGAGAACAAACAGATGGTTGGGGCGGGGGGTGTGAATGGGTGAAATAGGTTAAAGGGACTAAGAGCACACTTATTTTGATGAACACTGAGTAAGATACACAATTGTTGAATACTATACGGTACACATGAAACTAATATAACACTGTATGTTAACTATACTGGACTTAAAGTAAATTTAATTAAAAAAAAGAACACAGGTGCTAGGATTATAGTGTTGAACAAGACAAAAGCCCTTGCCCTCATGGAACTTACATTCTACTGCAGAGAAAGACATACAAATTAAAACAGTAAATGCTATGACAAAAAATAAATTGGGAGAGGAGAGTATCAGTGACGCTGCGGAGGGGATGACTATATGAAGATAAAACTACTTCTCTGAGAAGATAACATTTAGCAAAAGGTGAATAAAATGGAACAAGGCCTGTGATGTGGAGAGCAAGCATTCTCTAAGCAAAGGGAACAAGACCAAAAAGTCTCTGAAGGAACAAATTGGCAGTGCTGTAAAACAGATGTAACATGAATTACAGCTTTAGCATGAATGGTTAACAGTCCAAAACAAACTGAAAATGCTTTACAAATCACCAAACTAAGCTGTGGGGCCAAAAACAAGATGTTTTATATTGTTTGTATCCAGTCCCCCAAACCCTAAAATATTTTAATGATCCCAACCAATAATATAGCAAATGGAAACACTTTACTACTAACACAGATAAAAGGAATCAATACAATAATCAACTAAGGAACTTTTACACTAAATCCAGCGTAAAGACTAAGGATGAACATCAAGAACTTTGTCATGGGCAAATTGAAAGGAAAGGCATGTTAATATGGCAAGAGGTTTAATGACTATTATAATTATTTAAAGTATTTTTAAGTAAATGGAGAAATACGCCACATTCATGGAATGGAAAAGTCAGTATTGTGAAGATGTCAATATTCCCCAGAATGACCTATACACTCAAGGCAATTTCAATCAAAAGCCCAGCAGAATTTTTTTAAATTGACAAGTTGATTTTAAAATCAGTAAAAATAATCTGAAACTAATGTAACATTGTACATTAACTATACTCAAATTGGGAAATAAACAGGTAGATAGATAAAATAAGTAAGGATATACAAAACAAGAATACCCAGAACAATTTTGAAAAAAGAAAAAAGTTAGGTGATACTACCTAATTTCAAACCTTAGCATAAAGTAATTAAGAAAGTACAGTACTGGTGTGGGGCACACCTGGCTGGCTCAGTCAGTAGAGCATACAACTCTTGATCTCAGAGTTGTAAATTTAAGCCCAATGTTGGGTGCAGAGATTACTTAAAAATAAAATCTTTAAGGGGCGCCTGGGTGGCTCAGTCGGTTAAGCATCTGCCTTCAGCTCAGGGGCTTCCTGCTCAGCAGGAGCCTGCTTCTCCCTCTCCATTCTGCCGCTCCCGACCCCCCCTCCCCCACCGTTCTACTCTCACATGCTCACTCTCTCTAATAATATCTAAAATAAAATAAAATAAAATCTTAAAAAAAAGTATTGGTGTAATAGACACGCAGATCAATGAAACAAAATATAGTGCAGATTTTTTTTGCCAAGATTTTTGATAAAGATAAAAGATAAAGGAGATATCATAATCTTTTCAATGACTGCTGCTGGAACAAATGGATATATGTATGGAAAAAAAACGAACTGTTATCTCACATCATGTTCAAAATGGAACACAGGTATAAATAAAAACGCTATAAAATGTCTCAGGAAAGCACAAGAAAAACTTTGCTACCTTGGGAAAGGCAAAAACTTCATAAAAGGATCCAAAAAGCACAAATCATAAAAGAAAAAAAATCATAAATTATACTTCACTTCTGCTTTCTGAAGAACACTATTAAGAAAATTAAAAAGCAAACCACAGACTGGGAGAAATCATCATAAAACAGACCTGTATCCAGATTTTTTTTTTTTTTTAAAGATTTTATTTATTTATTTGACAGAGAAAGACACAGCGAGAGAGGGAACACAAGCAGGGGGAGTGGGAGAGGGAGAAGCAGGCCTCCCGCCGAGCAGGAGCCCAATGTGGGGCTCGATCCCAGGACCCTGGGACCATGACCTGAGCTGGAGGCAGACGCTTAACGACTGAGCCACCCAGGCGCCCCTGTAGCCAGATGTTTTAATTCAGTAAGGCAAACCTCCCAATTAAAAAATAGGCAAAAAATTCCAACACTTCATAAAAGATATAAAAAGAGCCAAAAAGCACATGAAAAGATGCTAATCATTAGTAGTTAGGAAAATAAAATTTAAACTCACGATGAGACGCTCCTATCACTAGAACATCCAAAGACTAAAAATACCAAGTGTTGGTGAAGGTATGGAGCAACTAAACTAGAACTCTCCCACTCATCATTGCTGGTAGGAATGTGAAATGATACAATCATTTTGGAAAACAACTTGGCAGTTTCTTATAAAGTTGAAAATTCAGCCGTTTACCCCTAAATATCACCCAAGCCACATGAAAACATAATGTTCACAAGAAGCCTTTACACAAATGTTCATGGTAGTTTGATTCAAAATGGTCAACAGTTGGAAACAACTTGAACATTCACCCACCCTTAGATCACTGGGCAAACTGTGATTATGTCCATATGACGGAATAAAACTCAGCCATAAAAAGGAACAAAATACTGATACAATGGTATAGGTGAAATCTCATAAATTATTATGCTAAGCCAAAGAAATCAAACACAGGTGGCTCCTGGGTGGCTCGGTCAGTTAACTGTCTGCCTTCAGCTCAGATCGTGATCCCAGAGTCCCGGGATCGAGCCCGGAGTCAGGCTCCCTGCTCAGCTGGGAGTCTGCCTGTCCTTCTCCCTCTGCCCTGCTCATGCTCTCTCTGTCTCTCTAATAAATAAAATCTTAAAAAAAAAAAAAAAAAATCAAACACAAAAGAGTACATACTATTTCATTTATATGAAATAACTAGAAAAGACAAAACTAATTTACAGGAGTGCAGAAAGATCAATAGCTGTGTGTAGGACAGGGTTAAGGGGTGGAAAATAACTGCAAAAGAACACAAAGGAACTTGTTTGGATGATGAAAAAGTTCTCTATTTGATTGTGATTGTAAGTTACATAAGTACATTCACTTGTTAAAACTCATGGAGTTTTACATTTAAAATTGGGTGCATTTTAATTCATGAAAATTATGCATTTATCAATCTCATGAAGAGGCTGGGCATTTCTTTTAGCTGTATCTCTGCTGAAAGCATAGCAACAAAGCTTGATTCCCTTGAATTTCCAGAAATTCTGTAAACAACCTAACAATACATAATAAATCCAGTTCTGCTAAAACTAAAAAAAAAAAAAAAAAGCATTTAAAAAGTTGATTAAAATATCATTCAACCATTATTTAAATATAAAATTTTCCTTTGCATATAATAGACATTCAGTCAGCTGAATGAAAATCATAAAAGAATACATTTCTAAGATTCAAGTATGAATCAATACACTGAAGTCTGAAGTATGACTCCTGACTCCTGGAGATACACAAAAATTTCTTATTTATATTCAGTGAATATTTATTCAACACCTACTTACCATATGCCAAGACAGTATGAACTGTACAAGGAAAGACAGAAGTTCAGAACAGAGAGAAGCCCATTTGCAACTGCACAGAAGGATGATGAGATGTTTAAAACTTACGTTGTTAGCAAGAATGCCCCATCACCACATCTTTCCAGAGCCTTTCGTGCAGGAGGTTTTGCTGCAAATTCTACAAAACCTTTTCCTGTCGCTCTACCACGATCATCCACAACCACAACGGCTTTCTCTACAGGACCAAACTGGGAAAATGCTTGCTCTAGCAGCTCATTGGAAACAACCGGCGAAAGGTTCTTGACAGTTAGGGCTGCTCCATGTGTAGCAAAACGAATTCGGAGAGGTCTGCTCTTCAAAATGGTGCCATCCAGCTCTGCTTTTGCAATTTCAGCCAGTGTTCTGGATTCCTTTTTAGGAGGAAAAATCACTTTTTAAAGATGATAGTAACACAAATAATTTTAAATAGTGGTTTCTAGGGAGAAGAGCTGGGTAGCTTTTGGAAAATGACTGTTAGAGTCACTCTGTTTTTGTGTCATTCAATTTTGGTATCACATGCATTGTATTAATTATTCAAAAATAAGTATGTTTAAATACCCCAATGTCCCAAGTCATCACTAAAAGATTATCTATTCAGAAATTACCAGCTATTAAATATTCAAAGCAAGATCTTTTTTAAAAATCTCCTCCATATATTAAAAGAAAATCATACTTTTTGAGACCAAGCACCAGTTACTGGAAGCTATTATTGAAAACAGAATAATTTCCCATATATTCCATGTTTTTGATATTCATATCTTAATAAAACATCCCACCTCATCCCACCTCTCCAATGCCAGAAAAAAAACCCTTCTCTTTTTCTTTTTTATATCATCTATGAAAACTACTATCAGATGTTGTTAACCACTTCTGAAATACTTTCATGGGCTACACATTTCTCCATTATATTGAGAAGCAAACATGTACAATCATGGGCTGTTAAGAGTTCTCTCCGTCACAGAGAGAATCAAGTGCACACGCATTTATAAACTAGAAAATACATTCATTGCTGAAACCACTAGGTAACTTCCTACTTGAAGAATTCAAGAATATAGACATCTAAACATTATCAACAAACTGACAAGTTTAATATAGACATGTTCTTTTTCTTTGTGTTGTGAGAACTCTCCAGAGAGAACTGAAAGAAGTTTTATATGGATTTGTAAGAGAACAAATATACTGTCTTATGAAAAAAGTCTTAAGGTCACAATAGATCCTTATATAATCCCTAAAATATTCATGACATTTAAATTACTGCACTTATGCAAAAATCTATCTACAGAACTAATGTTACAAAGACAAATGAATCTAGGGCGCCTGGGTGGCTCAGTTGGTTGGGCGACTGCCTTCGGCTCAGGTCATGATCCTGGAGTCCCTGGATCGAGTCCCGCATCGGGCTCCCTGCTTGGCGGGGAGTCTGCTTCTCCCTCTGACCCTCTCCCCTCTCATGTACTCACTCTCTCTCATTCTCTCTCTCTCAAATAAATAAATAAAATCTTTAAAAAAAAAAAAAAGACAAATGAATCTAACCTTTTTACAGATTTTCAAAATAGCTATCTTTAAAAATTACTCTTGGGGTGCCTAACCGGCTAAGTCAGTAAAACATGTGACTTGATCTCAGAGTTGTAAATTCAAGCCCCAGCTTGGGTACAGAGATTACTTAAAAATAAAATCTCAAAAATAAATAAGTAAATAAAACTTACTCTTAAATTTTTTTTAAATTATTCTTAAAAGTATCTGCAAGCATTCAATAAATATCTAACAAGGGACAGGTACTTTGTACCTAGTATGTCATATAATCCAACAACTCTGAGAGGTAGATTTTAAAATGCTGTTGGGTATAACTGGGAATGGGAAGAGGAATGAGGAAATTTCATGGGGGTGATGATAGTGTTCTGTATCTTGATAGGAATCTGAATTAAACAAATGTTATTCGTCTAAAATCACCAAACTGTACACTTATAATTTGTGCATTTTGCTGTATGCAGATTTCAAATACCTCAAAAAATAATACTGGACTCTAGTTAATGACAAGCATGCCAGAGTGTTCAAAAAGTCAAGAACTGATGGGCAGAGACAGAGATGAACAGATAAGTGAAAAAAACATATATAACAAAACTTAGACAATCTAGATAGATGTTCATTGCTATATATCTGAAATTTTTTCAGAGTAAATGTTTAAGGGTAGGAGGATAAAGAAAACCGGTGAGGACTTTCTAAAACTGAAGAGTGGTGGGGCGCCTGGCTGGCTCAGTTGGTAAAGCGTGTCACTCTGGATCTCGGGGTTGTGAATTCAACCCCCACACTGGGAGTAGAGATTACTTAAAAATAAA